CACACACACACACTGGCTCATTGGCTGTCGGTGACAAAAGTGCCCCATTTACACGAACCCAGTCGGACAGCCAGATTGAGACCTAGTTTAACCTGACAGCAGTCATTTCGTTCATGCACGCTGTCACAGCTCCCTGCATCTACTTCCTTTCCTCCTCTCACCGTCCTGACTCCATTTCTTGCACTTCCAAGTCCAGGACAGCAGGCTGCACTCCGCCATGGTGGGCGAAGGGGAGGAGGACGCCGGTAACGGCTCATTTGAAACAGCATTGAAGGTCAGCAGTTTAGAACAGTCTGGCAAACGGGAAATGTTTGCACTGGTGGCACATAGCTAAACTCCGGCTTTTGGGGCACCGGAGGAAGGAGAATGAATTCAGAGTGAAAGGGGGTGTTTCTTTTGGGGAGGTGGATGGGAAAAGAAGAGGTAGAAGGCACGGCAGACGAATGGACAGAGATACAATGACAGGTATGCATGCACCTGGTGCCAGAAGGACACAAAGAAGTACATTAACATGTAAGCTCGTCACGCCACCATGGTCCTTTCCAAAGTCCGTACGACGGACCAGTTGCAGGGGAGAGACGCCAGCAATGAAACCTAAACACACCCTGTTGCCTTGAAGGCGACAACCCGTGGGGAAGGTCGCCAAGGCTGGGCAACAGAGAAAAGCACACGCACGGGAAAGAAAACGAGGAACAAAGAGAAGAGAAGAGCATCGCTCCCTTGGACATGGATCACGCAGGCGGGCAATGTCAACGCCTTTGGCTGGACACATTGTCACGGTTGCCGTGTTTGGTGCGCGGGCAGGCGTCTAAAAGCATTATCCCCTTCTTCTGCGTCCAGGAGGTGGCGCGATCCAAGAAAGACAAGAACAGGCACAGATGCAAACGATCAACAAAGGAGGAACAATCGATCGTTGGCAAGTCAACGGGCTTTAGCAGCATCCACCACCAGCTGCCGCCTGCGCAGAGGCGCCACCGTCTTCCTCCACCTCAACACGGTGTGGATCTCGTCGTCGACGCCCAGAGTCCGTGGTACCGTGCTGTGCGAGCATGGCTGCAAACGTGGCCACGGCAGTGCACGAAAAATAAGCGGTGAGGTGCAGCCAGGGTCAAGTCGGGCAAAGGAGATGCCCGCGAACAGAGACGAGGGCCAGGCCAGGAACAAGGGCACACACCCTTGGTGAGTTCCTTGAACATTTCTTCAATGCCTTTGTTCTGTTTGGCCGATGTTTGAAAGTGGACGGCACCCACTGACGCGGCATAGCTACGGCCAAGTCAAGTCAATCATGGGACAACGTGAAACTCGTGTCAGGAAACGTTGGCCGTGGACGGCCGGTGGTGCGCGACATGCAGGAAAGTCCTGCGCAAATCAAATTCATGGCCTGTGTCGGGGCGAGGTACCTTTCAGCGGTGGCCTTGTCCACGGTGCGCTGCTTTTCGAGATCAAGTTTGTGCCTGCGAAAAAAGGAGGTTACAAGCACGCACGTTGAGAACGGGGCT